CCTAGCTCATCCCAGTTTGGATACTGTAGATACGTTCCCACAGCCGCATGCTACGTTCCCGTGATCGCCATGCCTTTGCCTTTTTCTTCTCGCCCTTTGTTCTCCCTTTGTCATCTTCACTGCCTCGCTCTCGCGCCTTGTCCTTGGTTGCTAAGCAGCCCCTCTAGTATATAAGGACCCCCCTAGGCACTCCCTAGTCCCCATCTCGACCTCTTGGTCATTGGGACTAGGTGAGTGATCATAGCGTTGTATCTCTCTTCGATTGCTAATGTATAACTTGGTCATTAGGACTAGTCTGTCGCTATCTGCGTGAAGACTAGCTTTCATAGGTCTTGTGCCCTTGTGCCGGCCTCCGCTCTGCCCTCATCGAGTTTCTTGCTACGTTTATCCCTCTCTACCTCTCTCTTTTCCTTTTGGCTCCTTGCCGCTTGCCTACGGGATCGTCGCCGAACGTCGACCCGAGTCTACGCACCTAGTCGCCGCGACAACCGATGACTGAATGCCATCACGGTGAAGAATTGGTACCCACTCCTGCTCATTGCGGAACTTATGGACTGACTCTGTCACAGTTTTCTCGTGCCACGTGACCCAGGGGTCACGCGCACCAAGGCAGACGCGCACCCTAACTACAGACAACTTGTATTGGGAACCGGAGCAGCCAGATTTGAACCCCAGACCTCGTGAAGGCTGGGAGCACCCACCGTCATTTACTGGCAGGTGACTAGTGTGTCAGCAGGGACGCTTACTCATTGGAAGGGGCCCAGACTTCGGATGACTCAGGTATTAGTCGTAAGGATGTCATGAGATACCTGGTCTGTGCACCGTTGTACTAGTATAGATAGTAGGGGGTCTGAGGCAGAGAACCTCAGACTTGATCTTCTCGTTGATCCTCCATCTCCTCTATAGGTAGTCTAATCACGCGTGCGTCGGGCAGGGCGAAAGGAGGATGACATTGTCGAGGCGTAACGCCGGACGAGTCATCCGACTCGCGTCGCCACCGCTCTCTCGCGCGACCGGGAGGGGCCGAGCTCAAGCCAAAGGAGGAGGGAAGGGAAGAGCCGGAGGCTCGAAAGGCTGAGTGTGAGGCTCGGCCTCGGCCCAATGGAGGCGAGTGGAGAGATGGAGGATGCGGTCCCGGGGGATGTCCACGTACAGCTTGTAAGCGTCGCTACGCCAACGGCCCAGCTGTTGAATTTCATGTTCTGCATATCCTGCTGCTGCTGCTGATGTTGCTGCGCCTCGGTGGAAGCTGTGACCAGAGTACTTGGTGCTGTCATAACTCTGTAACTGGAGCAAAGACTTAAGCTGCGCCACGAAGAGGTCCCGAGTGAGAGCAGAGCCAGTTTCCAGACCAGAGAACAGAGGGCAAGATGGGAACCCGGGGTCGCCTTGGAAGAGCTCGCGCAGCGCAGCAACCGGACAAGTGATTGTACCTGGTGCTGCGGCAATGATGATCGTTACCCCCTTCCGGAAGGGGTCGGTTTTTGAAGCTGGCAGGGAGAGGAGAATATGGGTAGCTGTAGCCATGTCGGGCACAAACTTGACAGAGCTGCGCGAGAGATGGACCGCCGGGTTGAAGACATTGTTGCGCCCGATCATGAACTCACCGCAACGTAAGAACCCAGCAAAGGCGAGCGACATGGCAGCTTTCATAGTGTGATTGAGGGCAGAGACAGACTCGGACAGGTGCGCACAGAGCTTCCGCAAGATATCGAGGGTGATCGGCAACTTTGGGTTGCGATCGCGAACACCGTGAAAGCGCTTGATGCCGCGGAGCAGCCTTTGGACAACTGGGGCTTCACATGCGGTGAAGGGGAGGTCGGAGTCGACGTGGAGGGAACGAACACTGGACAAGTAGCTCTTAATGGTTTTGGGGAGGAGGCCGCAAGCTCCGAGTGAGGCAATCCATTCCATGATGGCACACTGAGAGGCTGGCATGACACTTCCATCCGAGTTTTGCAAGGCGGGCTGGAGGCGGACAAAGTCGATGAAGGAGCGTTGGCCCGTACTGTATGTCTTGCGAGTACCGGATGCGAGGCCGTGCCATAAGTATCGGGCCACGAGTCGAGAGTACTGAGCGTGCGTTTCAAACCAGAGAGCTGGGGGTTCGTCAAGCAAGGTTTCCGGGGGAGGTGGGGCGCGAGCTGGAACAGGCGGTTGTACTGGAATCGGGATGCAGCGTCAGCGAGCGCGTTCTCAGCAGATGGAAGCCATTCCGCAGAAAAGGAAAAATCGAGACATGCCGCTAGCATAAGCAGCAGGCGTAAAAGTGACGTGGTGTGCCTGGAGCGATTGCGGTCTGATTCGATGGCATCAACTATGACCTGATTGTCGATGTGGAAGACCACATGACTGCCAGACCACCGTTGACCCCATCGAAGGACGGCCTGGATAGCAGCGTACAGTTCTTTGAACTGTATGTCCCGTTTCCGATGCTGGCGGGGGACGCGGGTGGCAAACCACTCGTTCTCGAAGATCCCGCCTATCCCTTTCCGTTCTGATCCACTTGCGTCAGTAGAAACGTGGATTAATGGGCGGGACGGCGTGATCAGACGGATCCCATTCCATCTTGAATGGAAGACCGACCACCAGTGGATGTCGGCTCGTGCGTATCGGGGGATGTGGCGAACTGAAAAGTCGGAGGAGAATGTTGAGGAGAATTCGATCGGACGGCGGATAAAGGCCCTGGAGTGCGGAACAACCTGTGCTGTGAACTGTAGGAACCCTATGAGTGCTTGTAGCTCGCGAAGCCGGCACGTACGACGACCATGCCATGATGCAAGGAGGTCACCTAGCCAGGCCAGCTTGTCGGAAGGTAGTCGTGCCTCCATGGCGTCAGTATCAAGCTCGAGACCGAGAAACTCGAGTGATGTCGTGGGGAGGACAGTTTTTGATGCCTGGAACTCGAGCCCCAGCTCTTCTCCGAGGCGCATCATCCACTCTACGGCTGCATAGGCAAAGAGTGGCGGAGTGGAGGGGGGGAATATTGGAAGGAAATCGTCCAGGTAATGCCGTAGAGATGCAGGGATGTGGCGCTGTATGATCCAGTGGAGGGCTTCCGCAAAAAGGTTGAAGATGTAGGGGGCGGACTTGACGCCGAAGACGAGCACTACATTGCAGTAGAATCGACCGGCCCAGGTGCAGCCGAGCAGGTGCCAGTCGTCGCAGCAGACCGGTATGTGGCGGAACGCATCCTTCAGGTCAAGCTTGGCGAGGAGTGTGCCGCGACCCAGACGTCGGATTTCGGCCACAGCGGAGGCAAAGGGTTCGTAGTCAATGTGGCTTTCCGAGTCCGGGATTCCGTCGTTAACAGAGGACCCTCGGGGCCAAGACAAGTGGTGTATGACGCGAAGTTTCGAGGGGTTGCGCGGGCGAGAGACGACTCCTAGCGGGGAGGATCGGAAGGGCGTAAAGGGCGGGGCTGGAAAGGGCCCATGCATGCGTTGGCGCGAGGTGAGGGCGGCGATGTCTGCGGCGACAGTGTCAGGGTGTTCGAGGGCGGTGGACAGGTTGCGGCAGTCCTGAGACAATGGCGGGCCAGAGAATCCGAGGGCAGCACCAAAATCTATTATATGACGTAGCGAGCGTACAAATTCAGGATCAGGGTAATCAGCTAGGTAACGGCACCAAGCATCACGGCACAGAGTCGAGGAGACGGGCATGGTCTCGTGCGAACAGAGAGATACGGCATTGCATCGTGGATCTGTGTTAGGGCGAGCGGGCGGCGCGGGGCCTGCTGGGAAGAGATACGGCAGGAGAGGAGCGGCAGGAGACGGGACTGCAGTGGAGGAAATTACGAGTGGGGGCTGGGGACGAGATGGTTGAGGCAAAGGGTTGTCCGTCAGGTGAGGTGCGGGCTGAGGACGAGCGATGACGGGGCGCTCGCCGCTCGTCCCGCCGGCGCCTCAAGCCTGAGCTGGCGGGTTGGCGCGCCGAGAGGCTGATTGCCCGTGGTCAGTCGCACCGCACCCCTGGCACTTTTGGGGGCGATTCCAGTGGCAAGGGGAAGCACATGTCCCCTTGTTGAAGTTGCGGCACGGCTCCGTGTCGCTCGGACGACTGGAGCCACCGGCGGATCCCTTCGGGGTGCCCAAGGGGCGCGCCCGTTCCCGGCCAATGAGGTGCTCCGCTTGGAGGCTTGTATCGATGGTCGCCCAGCCGGAATAGTCGCCGCGAAGCATCTCCCGGCGACGCTTGTAGTGGAAGTCGAAGTGATAGGCCAGAACGGCCGACCACTGGTAATCCTGACTAAACTAAACCATCCGAGCGAGGTACTCGGAGCTGCTCGAAGTAAGCTGTTAAAGCGCGACAGCATCGCCGCCCATGCTCGCGAACCCTCCGAGCACGTTAAAAAATGTAATGAGGGGAAGGTAGAGCGAATGGAAAGTAGGGTAGTCCCGGGGCGCTTGATCGCGCACCGAAACGACGCCACTGCTCACGTCAAGGACCTGCCGGGTGGCACGGTCTTTGTGGCGCAGGTCGAGCTTATAGAGGTCGCCCGGCCGGAACTCATGTCGCGCGATCTCAAGGAGGACGGAGCCCTCAATGGAGGGGAAAAGGTCTAGCAAAGACTTACTAGCAGGGGCCGGGTTTGCCGGCGCAAAAACGAATTGCGGGAAGGCTGCCGCCGTAACCACTGCTGGGGTCGCTATCGGCGTCGCGGGCGCGGCTGCCCCTTGTTGCCCTTGGTACAGGGTGGCCAGGGTCTGCACAATGGCTTGTAGCTGGTCCGGGGAGAAGCTGACCTGCGGGGCCGTCGCGTTGAGGGCGGCCGCCACTGGGTCCGAGGGCTGCGAGGTTGACGTGGGTTGAGTGGACGGGCCACTGGTGTTGCCCGTGGTCGCGCTGTTACCAGTGGGGTTAGTCGGCGAGGAGCCGCCCGGGGGATCGCCAGAACCAGCCATATCGTCTGAATCTGGTGTGGGTGATGTCGGTACGGGTTCTGTAGATGCAGGCACGCGCTTCAGGAAGCGGCCGTCGGAGCCTCGTTGCGGTGTGCTGCGGTGGCGCGGAGCCGTGATCTAAGAAAATAACGAAGCCCGAAGTCGGGGACTTTCGAGCACGCCGGTGAGGAAGGAGGTGAGGGAAACTAAGTAGCGTGTCGTACCTTTCGAGCACGCCGGTGAGGAAGGAGGTAAGGAGAGGGGAACATTAGTGACCTGTACATATAGACTAGAGAGAAACAAAGAACTAAGCTTTGCGCTGCAAAACGCATTGTGCGTGACAAAGGTTTTGTGCGACGGGGAAGAGAAACACGTTGTAGACGCGCGTGCTCCTTACGCGACTTAGACCCCAGTCAATCCTCATTGACTGAAACACTAGCAGCCCTACCTCTCACTGCCCCTTCTTGTTTAGGGAATATACTTCTTCACATCTCCTCACTGTGTCACCTCTAGTTGCTTCGCTCCTCAGCACCAACCTTTGCACTAGTAAGCTTGTCCTTGTTTGTTCGGTGGCACCGCTCGTTGGCTGTGACAGACTCAAGAACACCAAGATCTACACTGCGCTCAACGTCTGCTGGGGCTACAACAACATCCGGATTAAGACCGGTGACGAATGGAAGGCCGTGTTCATGACCAACCAAGGGTTGTTTGAACCTACAGTCATGTTCTTTGGGCTCACCGGTTCTCCCAGCACGTTCTCTGCATTCATGAACGACATCTTCAAGGACCTCATCGTCAAAGGAAAGATCACTGTATACCTGAACGACATCCTCATCTTCAGCAGCGACCTTGCTGAACACTGTAAGGTAGTGCATGAGGTCCTCCAACACTTGGAGGTGAACAACCTGTTCCTGAAGCCCGA